TTTTATTACTAATTTTAAATTTTCATCTTAAAGAAAATCGTTAAATTTTATGTTCAAATATCATTCGTGCAAAATTAATAAAATTAAGAGTTGAAATAAAATTGAAAATCGTACATTTCAATACAAAGTTGAAAAGAAATATTAACGATATTTTTGAAAACATTTAATCACTCGTATATAAAAACATGTATTGATAATATCAATGTACTAAAAACACACGTATACTAGAAATAACCTCACGAAAAAAAAGCATAGTGCGAGAAATAATATTTTTTGACCAACTAACTTGAGTTTAATATTGTCAACTTTTACGATATACATTTTATTTTATTTAAGTTTCCCCTGGGCGCTAGTATATTGAATATGAATTATACGCGCATATACATATATTTATAGTTTTTTAAATTTAGTATCAAATAATACATATAATTAGAAATAATCATGTTTTCATTGATTATTATTATTCGATGATTTATTACTCTATCAAAGTAATACATATCAAGTATTGTTTAAAGTAGTAGAATATTTTTACGATATAAAGAAATACTTACGTTCATTTTGTTAATGAGGTGTTCGATGATTATGGCAAAAGCCTCGAATCCGTTAGTGGCATGTTTTAATCGAGTTTCAGCACGTTGTAAACACAAACTTGTATCGTCTCGTTTGTTCTTAGATTCAACCGGTTCTCGGCGTTTTTGTTGAGTAGAAGAAATAGCAGCTACTGCAGTTGTGGTTACTGGTACCTTGACTGCAGCAGTTGTCGTTGCTGCTTTGCCGTTATTCAAATGATTTACAGCCGTCGATCCAACTCCCTTGTTTTCAGATTTTCCGACTGTCAAATTATGTTCTATAAAATCAAATGTCATAAAACCAATTATACTAGAAAAACATATTTTCTTATTTTATAATTTATTTGAAATAGCCCTTAAAATAAACAAATCTATTAATGAGCATGAACTGTAAAAATGATTTCATTATCGACTCACGACAAAATATTCAAGTGCTTTAAAATTTAATGAAATTAATTAATTAAACGTTGGATTTAAACTATCATACACAATATAGATGGATACGTTCAGAACAATGTAAAATGTTATTTGTGTACAATGAGAAGTAGACAAATGAATGAATCTGAGGAGGAGTATTGGCGATGGAGATATTATTATGCATAATATTAGATACAGATAAATATTTTTAAACATCGTATTTATGGCTTTATTAACATGACAGGTCCCAGAGATTTATTAGATGAAAGAGATCAAAATGTAATATATTGAACTATTAATGCTTTAAAAAAAAACTATAGCCTACGAAAATGTATATTGAAGTGTATTTGAGCTAAAAATCTATTATAATATTTTAAGTATTATGTCCAGATACAGCATGCATTTAATGGAAAAGAGGTCAATGAGTAAAACCAAATATTGAAATTTTTCATACAATAATTTTTTACACTGTAATACGGACTACGTGAAGAGCGGTGATCACCTTTTGCTAGATTTTATTTTTGATATTATAAAATATACTAATATTGAAATAAAACACAAATACACTACATGAATACTGTTGAAAAATTGCTTTTTTAATTAAAATTAATTGATTACGACTAAGCTACATATGTTTAATTTAATCACTCATATGCGCGTTAAAAAAAAAAGTATTTTTTATTTTGAAATAAACAACGTTTGTTAATAAAGTAGAATACTTGTTATTTAAATTATTACTTATAACTAAGAATGTTGTTTGAAAACTTTTGATCATGATTGTAACAATAATATTTCACATGTCACTTGATGGCATTAACTAAACGAGAAATTTGTACTCCGATCAATTTAACTAAATTTTCAGAAGTGCTCGTTTTTTACTAATCATACTGCAATAATAACAAACACCCATAACAGTTGAACAAACGTAGAAACCATGTAATTTTTATTTGTTTAAGCAATGAGCCAGCTGACTTAGGTTTTTGAACAATCAATTGTTGTTTATTATTTTAACTAGTTTTTTTTTATATTTAAAATAAATTAATATACATTTTCAATTAAAATAGAAATAAAAGCTAATTCAAATTAATAAATAACAATATAACACACAAAACCATAACAATCTTGAATTTTAATATAAATTATTAACTAACACATAGATAAATGTCAAATATTAATCTTTCAATTCTAAAGATATTTGGGAATGCAAGATAATTATAATAAATGTACAACTTGAGTTAACGTCAAATAAATGAAACAATTATACTTTTTAAATTGGCCCATTTTAATGGCTTTAATTTTCGAACGCATTCTTAAATGGTACAAATAAAACAAGTTTGAATTGTTTAACCTTAATTTGAATAATAAATTATACATTTTTGTGGTCAAAGACGAAATTACTTTGGTTTTTATTTTAATTTTTATTAGATTTTCTTCTTAAATAGTTCATTATTTGCGATCATTCAATTCTAAGATTCAAACTAGATTTTTTTTTTATTTTGTAATAATTTCCACCAAAAAATTATATCCTGCGGAAAATTTAACGGATGTTGGACTGTGGACAGATAATTATTTACTTGAAATGGCCGTTTGTTCCTATTTTTAAAGTAGACAATCTCTCCTCCGCAATTGCCACTGGACAAAAGCCAAAACGTTCTAGTTCTCGTCTAAGTTCATTATCATATACCGCGGAAATTATAATACTCTATGATTAAAGGAAGTATACTGAAATGAGATTGATAATAATGATACCCACGTGATAAGGAAAAATATTAAGTTGTAAAAAAAAAATATATTTTTTAATTATCTTAGGACCGACTTAACGATACCACAACAATACACACGATTGAGAAACTATATATACAATGAATATTAGTAAATACGTGAAAATGTCAACGGGTCAAGTAACGGGAGGCTATTATTCTCGTATTCTACTGAATTCATTTAATATTCTATCAGGTATACATCGGCTAGTTTCTTGAAGTTTAATAATAACTTTTTCCACAAATTCAATTTTATGTAATACTTGAAAGATAACAAAATTCTCTTTCTCTAAATAGTAAATAGAAAATAAAAACAGTAAACTCATACTATCATTTAATTAAATAAATAAGATGAAATTTAAGTAATAGATATTACTAAAACTTAATAATTTAGTATAAAAATCACTACACCTTTGAAAACATTTTTGGAGGCACACGTCGAGACAACGAATAGCAATTGCGTGTAGTATGCATCAAAATGTCTATGATACAAGTCCACCTAATTGTCTAGTGATTTTTTACTTTTGGTGCATTAGCCATGTGCTCAGACAATAATTATAGACATTACCAAAACTCAGATTAACTGATATACTTTTATCATTTGTGTAAAAACTTCTTGATGCTCTACTCTGTTATATAGAAAACACACTCTACAAAACACACACTCCGTTATTAAAAAAATATTATTCTACGCCTGAAGATAATATTTTTATTTTAAACTAGAGCATGCATCTCAAAATAAGAGGATATTATTCTGAAAAGTAAGATATTAGAAATTTCAACATTTTTACCATTTGTAATAATATAATTCTATAAAAGGGCCATACGAAAACGAGCCAAGTAAAATATTAACTCTTTTTTTTTTTTTTTTTCATTTCCTTTATTACTGTTTACAGAAGTAACAGCCAACAATCTCAAATAATAAATACTTTTAATACAGAATAAACTATATATTAATGTGATCTGGCACATATCAGGTAAAATAGTAAAAATCTGGTAGATCGCCATGAATACTCAAATCGACGTTAAACGAACTTATTTTATTTTTGTATATTTTTTGAACACATAGCTTATAAATTTTTTTATCGAGCTTGAAATTTCAATTTCAAACTGGCGACATGAAGCCAGAAATTCTATTAACCACCCTGAATGTAAACATAGTGTTTAATTGCGTTCATATGGAATGGTAGCAAATAATAAAACGTCCAAAATTATTAAATGTAAGATAAAATTATACAATTATACGTTGAAATACTTTATTGCAAGTTACTGAAAACGTTTTCAATTTATTCTTTTTCAAACGGAATGATCTTAATTAAAAACTATTTACACTAAAGTACAATAATGTAAGTACAGTATACATCATTATGCGATTACATGGATACTGTTTGGATTATGTGTAAACTAATACGACAAACACTAAAGAAAATTATTCTTCGTGTACCCAATACATCTATTAAATGACTTTTGACACATATTCATAACGTTTCATAGACTCTGGGACACGGGCCATAGACGTTTTATATTTTTAGCAATAATCACTTCTTTTTATATCCATAGGCGACTTACGCTTAGATTATCTTATTCTACGGTTCAAAAATCCCGAGTTTAAAGCGTCAAGCAAATTTCATTTCTACAACTGGCAGCTAGCCCGAAACGCATTATATCCGCCTGCTACGTTAATTATCGCTTTTTGGCGAATGCAGTTTAACATAAACATAATGCTCGTTTCATCTATACATTAAAAAACATACAAAACTTTAATATTTTTAACAGATTCACGAACTGTTGCGAAAAATTAGTTTTCATAATGAAAGTTATCATCAACGTATAATTCGTGAGAGGTCTATTTTTAAGGTAATTTAAAAAAAAAAGTTATTTATAATAAATCCCATCCATTATGCACGTGCTTACATTACAAAGATTCTACTAATTAAAATTTTTATTAAAATTATATTTTTTAGAAAGTTATGTAGAAAAAATTAAAATTCATAGAATAAAAAACCATCAATACACAATTACAGAGTTTAGTGTTGATCGAACCAATAGTTAAATTTCCCGAATAAAACGACATACAAAAAATGTATAAATCGAACATGTGTTGCGTTCAATTAAAAATGGTTTTTACTCCGTTATTTAGGAAAAAAAATGTAGGTGAAAGGAACTTTTAACATAATATTATCGTGTATCATCGGCCACATTTTCTTTGCGTACAAGGTGTTGTGTATTTTTGTTTCACCTGCGCTTGTTTATGTAGCTTACCCTGTTGTCTGGCCTTCCGCCTGTGCAAACGTAATGATGACCATCGTTGCAGGTGGTTCGTGTCTGGCTTCTCAACCGAAGACAATATTACGGAAGGAGGAGTGGATACAATACTTGTCCGACGAACGTTGGGTAAATTTTTACCATTATTTCCTCCATGGAACAAAGCAGTAAGTTTGCCCAGAGTTCCCACCATAATTGTGTCTCGTTAGTTCTCTTATTGAATTACCGCAGTGACAATAATATATGTATATAATGTAGTTTTCCCATCAATAGTTAATTGTTCTAACGAAACTGCAAGATCTATTTTCTATAGGATTCGCGAAAAAAACACTGCAAATAAAACATAGCAGTGTTGTAATCATAGGCGTTCAAGTATTGTTGACGAACACGTTAGGAACCATTGACCCGCGATCGTGCAATGTCGCTGTAATTACCTACATCCTCTGTATTGGCTTTGGCGGTATGGCGGCAATAAGCCTATCTTTGATTTGAATTACTTAACTCAAACGATATCGCAAAAATATATTAAATGAATGATAAATGAATTAAAAAACGGAATTCGCACGTGCTCAAGTTATGCAGTTTGAAGTACATAGATAACGAGAAGAAACTTGAGCAATTCCGCGTCCTGAATAGGAGAAAGCATGTATGCAACGAAAGAACTTCCTAAAACCTGATCTGATGGTTTAAATGAATTCGTGATGATGACGTGTAATGCGGTTACACGTTACAAGAATCAACCCTTAGGTGAATTTTTTAATATTATAATTATTTAATATATATTTATTTTGACAAAGCTCAAATATTAGAGTAGATATTTAAAAAAAAAAACCAACACGAGTATTTTAATACATTTTTTGTATAAACTCGAATGATGTGATAACATTCATTAAATAATTTTTTTGAATTTACTAGAAATTTTATCAAAATGTTCAATTAACAAGAAACGTTAAGCAGCCAAATATGTGATCTCTGATATATTTTATCAATAGATTGTATTATTTGCTAGTAAATTAGATAAATGAAAGTAATCATACATATGAAAAAAAGTATATTACATTACCATCAAATAAAATAATAAACGCGAAAAACGCCTAAGAGATGTGGTGAAACGTACAATCTTAAATCATTTGATGTCTTTTTATCGACAGAAAATTGTCCGACAAGTCAGAAATTGAAATCAAACCGACTTTTTATAGGAAATGAATTTTGCAATGTCATCCACAGCTTACACACTATCAAGGGTCAAATCATGTCCGCATACGTGATCCGACAACAAAACAATAATATCAATTCTATATCGTCCTACCGGTATAAGACAGCAAATTTCTCACTTGAACTAGTACAATGTATCTATCCAGCATGAAGATAATGAAAAAAACGTAAAAAGTATTGTTTTACACACGTTTAATCGAAAACATTAAAAAACCGTTAACTCATTCACATACACACTCGTCGCACAAGGAGTTAAGCTAATACTAAAACCGACCGATTGTAAGTGATGTGGTACATCTTAGAGAGAACAACCGCTACATAGACCGGCCGCTCCGGCTATGATGTGCGTACTACCCGACCTTCGAACGTTAAACTGTCGTTGGCAACTGATCCTTACACGTACACACGCTCTATCATCACCCACACAGTGATAGCTAAAATTTGTTTGTTTATAAAATTAACTATCTTCTCATTCATCATTTGTTCTAGAGAAAACAATACAAAAAAGTGTATTTAAAATGTAAAGTATACAAAAAACATATGGCATTCAAATCATCGTTGTGTTACAAGTGTAACGAATAATTACTACGAGCACGTGTTAAAATTTTAAATATTATACAATTCGAAAGTAGCCCACGAAATTTGCAAGTTTTTTGAATACCCACTCAAGACACAATGCACGTGACTAAATGTGGTAATACCTAATTATAATAATCAAAATATATTCAATAACGTTTGGTAACACAACGGTCTGTCAATATTACAAAAATGTAAATTAAAAGTACCTCTTCATATCTTTTACAAATATTTTTTCGTATAAAAAATATAGTGATGAAACAAAAAAAAAATAACATTATATTCACGAGTTCACATTAATGTAATTTATTGTTATATCCGAAGGATTTCCTACAAACTGTTGTTAAATTACTAACAAATTGTTCATGTTGAATGTAAAATGAGACTCGAGAAACGAAAAATTCTGATAAAAGAATCAGATATCTAAGTTAAGAAATTCAGAAACAGATTTAAAACTATTTTTAAATTATTGTGAAAACTTATTTTTAAAATTAACTAGAATTTCATTACCAAATTTCTTCATAATTTATATGACATTACTATGATCATTTACTTTACAAAATATAACTATGTAGGGGCAGATTTAAGCTTTATCTTCGAGAGAGACCAAAATTAATAAGAAATATTATCATGTAATTAGCCATAAAAAAAGTCAACTCAACCTCAATACTACAAAACAGTATTGCTGTAGGGTCAACACAATATTTGTACCAAATGCACAGATCATTACGTTTAATATAATGCAGGTCTAACATAAGTCATAATCGTGTTCTTCTTTCTGAGGACTCTGTATACATTTGTTAAGTAGTTTTTAATTAATCAAAAAGGAAAATATCCATTTTTTTTTTATTTCTTAACACTTCCGAATTCAATGAGTTAATAATGAACATGTTTTATTTGATTCAAGTTCTCCTTAATTGATTATAAAGCACTTTTTAATTTAAATTATAATTTATCTAACAACAATTTCAACTGAAATAGGGAGAACTTTGGCGATTCCAAATCACATATGTACAGAAAAAAATTATTGTAATGATAAAAAATAAATAAGAGATTGTCATTCTATATGCAGTTTTAAGTAATACATTGTTAATTTCAAATCATAACTGCAAATCACATTACACTTACCAGTACCATTTCTTTTGGTTTTCAAAGAACTTTTCGAAGCTACAACTGCTGGCTTAGAACGTAATGATGAAGTGGCCGCGTTAAGTGTTGAACGTGAATTAAAGTTTTTATCTAAAATAAAAAAATTATAATAATAAAAATTATGAACAAAAGCTCAATTCGTATTTAAATACCAAAATCATTTTTTATGTATTTCTGTCGAAATAGGATACTATATAAATTAGATTTTATCTGTTTAAAAAAACTAAAGAAAACTTTTAGCAAGTGTATCGTCATGTTGTTAACGTTAAATTAAATAGAAAAACTGATTAGTGAATTAATAACAAATTATCTTCGCTCTAGTTGGCCTTGGTTTTCTTATTTATGGATAGACGCCATCTCAGGTAACTAGCCTACACACCTAACACGGACAGACAAGATAAGGTTTTCATAGGCATTCTAGTAGTTATTTCGAATTTTTCTGTAAAATCAATTCTGTGTAAAAGAAATATTTTTTTTTTAGCTTACTTTGAAATTTATTTGACAAAGTTACACGTTTAGAACCAAAATAGTAATTTCGAATAAAACTTTTATAAAACAAAAAATTCAAAATTTCACAAATTCCTTGACTTTTATGATTTTACCACAATTTAAAAAAATCCAAGAGGACCAAGGACCTTAGTCCCTTTAATTAGCGAATTAACTCACCGAAAAATAAAAAAAACTTTGTACGTTGTATAGTGTTAATATAGTAAACATTTATATAAAATATATCATATACACTTTTTATATTTTATAAAAACACACTCGCCTAACATTGATGGTTTTGAACATCAAATATATGCGCCTGATTCCATATTAAATGCAACTGTAATGATTTACATGCATAGTAAATAATCTATGAAGAAGTAAGCAGGGGCATTAAAAAAACATCCATAAACACTTGTAATATAATACATATTGTAAAAAAAATATCCAACTATCACAAAGCATAAGTGTTACTATTCAATACTTAATATTAAGTTTCAAAAATGTAATTGAATATTATAATGCCATATGTAACAGTAAGCATTTTTTCTATGTATACAAAGAAAAAATTAAAAATTTAATAATATTTGCTTAAATAATCATTAAAATAAAATTCTAAGATGTAGATATGTAAATCATCGAATTTCACAGTACTATACACCGGAATTAATTACATCCTTATTAAATAATAAATTGTATGTTTCCAACTATGTTTATATATGTATACTAGATATAATGAAAAATTCAGTAAAATATAACTCGAGTATAGTCTCTTAAGTACGAAATTGTTTATATTACTTAGTATAATTTGTGATTGTTAAATTTTAGACTTATTTTATAGAAAAATACATTTTAGGTGGATTCCATGATAAAGGAAGGCAGTTGACCATATTAGATACGATTTATTAAATAAGAATAAAAATGTATGACTTACAAATGAAAATCTTAAATATTATATGGTTAAAAAAAATACGAGAAGAAGAGAAACAAATAATTTGTTTGCTTTTACCTAATAATTTTGAATATTTTGCTATTTTAAAAATATTTTATTTATTAAATTATCGAATGGAATTACTCTGATAATGCAATTTTCATATTAAATTGATTAGCGACATCAATTTTGATGTGTATTTATTTTCAATTTATTAATTATCGTGTTATACTATTTAATGATGTACTTGAAAGACGTATTCTTATTAATTATTTCCGACTGTATATACTTATATTATTTACGTTTAAAAGCAAAAATCATATACCTTAAAATCAAGATGTGGGCATATTAAGTACAATTCTTAAATAAGAAAATAGTTATACACTTATGCTTAGATAGTATCGGTAAAAATAACTTGAAAAGAATTTTTTTTATTCTAATGATGTTTTTTCGTAATATGGAGGAACATTCAAAGGACAATGTGTGCAATTATAATAATAACCGAATATAGGCCAGGTCATAGTGATGAAAAAATACCCTAAGTCGTTAGATTATGCGAATTAAAAAGGTATTATTTATCACTCTGTAAATGATTACTCTATTTAGTTTATTATTATCGACTAATAATTATTTACAAAAAAAAAATAAATAAATAAAAATAAAAGCAATTTATGAGAAAAAGTTCGAGTTTTATTAATTATTTTTAATTAGATATATGAATATATATATTTTTTTAGGAAAAGTTAAAATAATTTACTTAATAGACGTTTGAATAAAATAAAAAAATTGACAATTTTATCGTTTAACTAAATTCAAAATAAATTAAGTTCCTAAAGTAATTTTACAACGTGGCTAACTTTTATAGGTCCTTTAAAAAAAGTTTATTATCAGTACGATAAAGTTAAAAAAAATTTAAAATGCCCACAAAGAGCAAAAAATATTTGAGCAACACATTATCAAATAATTTGTTTGTGTACTAGCGTATAAAATAAAAAAGCAATGATAAATTATCAATTAACGCCACTTTAAGGTATTCATACATATAGAATACTTACGGGTAAGTGTGGGATGTGAAGCAGCTTGTTTTAATGCAATTTTTGTTTCATTACTAAGATCACTAAATGAACTATCCCTAGAACTATTTTGAGAACTCTTTGGTAAATATCTAGATCTTGAGATATTTGGTTTTTCATCATTAACTTGTAAATTGGACTCCGATCCACCTCGTGATCTCACTTTACGGCTGTAAAATAAAAATATATTATTTATAAATCTTGATGCATAAGCATTAAATGGTTTTTAAACTCACCTTTTTGCTTTAAGAGGCGTATTGACCCGGTGAGATCTAATATTTGGCAGTGGTTCAGTGTTAGTTGGCGATTCTTTCATTTTGTTAGAGCATGTAGCCAATGGATTAGTAGAATTAATTTTGCTTTTAACGTCTTTAAGACGATTAGCATGAGTTTTTTGATCGACTTTGCTTTTTTCTATTTTATTCATCACAGCATCCCAACGACCAGCTGGTTTTCTAGTTCTAGGAGCTCTGTTTTCTTGATCCTGTCTCACATCGAGAGTTCTTGGCTTTTGTAAAGTGGTTGGTCTTTTATACCTCTTGCTTGCTGGACTAGACGCTTCTTCTGTACAATCAACAGTCACCGAGTTTATTCGTTCAGAAGGAGCGACTAGACAAACTCGTTGACTATTGACAGAAGAAGGTGAAGCAGATGAATTGTTGGAGGAAATTACTTCACATTTTTCGTTTTGTTCTGGAGGCTCTTCACATATCCTGTCGAAGTCTGAATATACTCCACTTGAATCCATTTCTTCTACAGTACCAGTAATAGTGTTATTTGATGCTTCCGGTTGACTTTTAACAGTGTCACCAGAATAAAGTGTACCATCTATTACTCTAGCTTTACGATGACAATGATCTTCAGCTTCACTTTCTGTAAAGAAGTCAGAATCTGTCATCGGTTCAGGTGGTCCCAATCGTTTAACTGTAGCTCCACGACTAGTCGGACGGCTGGTTTCACCATCACCTTGGTATCCAGTATCAAGACTTCCAATGCTGGTTATACTATTAATAACATTATTAATCGGTGCAATGGTAAGTAGTGGTACTTCGGTTGTTGTTTTTGACGAAAACTCATCCATAGGTAAATCTTCTAAAGAAGGAGTTCGATCAATTATGGCGTTATCGTAAAAAACATGCCCAAATGAAACAGTAGAACGTTTTGGATATGCACTGGCGCTGTCGTGTTCAGATACGGTATGATTTAACGAAGGTTCTGAAGATAGAACCGGAGATATTAAATCGTCATCTTTCGGCATGGATATCATTTCTAAATCACTCGTAATAATATCACCCTCGCAAATACACTAAAAATTAAACAATACAAATTTTAATGTTTAATAAAATATTTTAACCACTTATATTTATTTCATGAAAATACTTACTTCTGGTATGGGGTTTTGAGGCGACATCTTAAAAAAAAGACCCGCTACTTCATAGTGAGCTTCATCTCCTTTAAATTCGATCATTTGATCTGGCGTCAATATACCTAAGCTATCAGTACCTTCAAACGGGGATTCAGTTTTTCCAAAATCAAGTTCCCAATTAGCTAGTGTGGCTGGACAACCATCGTCATACATAAGTTCGGCTTCTAATTTATCATTAGTATTATTCTTATGATCAATTAGTCGTACTAAATGGGACAGTACAAATAGAGCACATTGATCATTACACGAAAAATATCTTACACCGCTTATGGATCCATCACAAACTCCATGACCACTTTCAACTTCAATGCCACACCAGTCTCCTGGACCTAATATAGTTTTACCAAAATATCTTAGGATGCCAGTTTTAGAGAGTTGAGTTAACTCTACAAAACTACCAAGATCTTTTTCGGTTATTGAACAGCGGCTTGTTGATTTAAAAAGTGATGAAGGACGGTTTGGTGGAGGTGGTTGTAATTTATTATCGACATTATTAAAAATCCCAAATAAAGTTGACGATGTAGTTGAATTTCGAATAGTTCCATCGAAATGAGAACGAACTTTGTTTGAGATATTAGAAAATCGAGATCTCAAAGGAGCAGAATTCAATACAGGAATTTTACTTTCCCCAGGAACCTGAAAATCAAATAAAACAAATTAGCCTAAGTTTAACAATTAGATAGGAAAAATAAACACAAGCAACTATTAATTTATACACATAAGCTTGGTGTATGTATTACTAAAACGTCGTTAAATTATTACAAACAAAGACTCATTGCCATAGCAAGAAGAATACTAATGACGTTTAATTGTTAATGAAGTTTTTCGATTTTCAAAACGTGTACTAAGAGCTATAAATTTGAATGAATAGAAAATCTTAAGTTTAAATATACGTACTGGAATAATAATTACTAATTGCTTTTATAATAACGCTCTAAATAATATTGCCGTAATAAATGCTTATGAAATTCATAAGATCATGATATAAAAATAAAAAATTAAACACTTGTCTGATGTGTTTCATATTTTTTAAAACTATTATAGCGTTATATATGTAATAAACATAACACACACAAATGGACGAGAAACGATAGGATTACATTGTGACTACTAACAGTTGGTATTGATATAAACTCGGTGAACAATTACATTATGTTAGTTGTAGATTTTAACAGGTGCATCACACCCTTTACTCTGTACATCACAAAACAAAAATACCATGACAATTTTTAATACATTATTATCAATAGTAGTCATGATAGAATTATTAAACTTGTAGTAACCTAGACATATTTATTTCGAATAAATGTTAATTATAATGAATATTATTATGCACATTAAAAATGTACAACAGAACAAAATGAAGACGTTTTTAATAATAGAATTTTCTATCTGGGAAATAACAATTTAAACTACATGTATAGTGATTTTAATTAAAAAAAATAATAATATCAAATAAAGTCAAATGAATAATCAAAGTTAAAAATCAGTATGTCGTACTAAAAACGCTATTATATTGCGTGGGATAATTTTTAAATATCTCGCATTATGTCATCTATAACCGCAAATTTATCTCTAAAATGAAGTGATGAACAAAATAAAGATCCAAAATATTGATTATTATCTATTTTTTTTTTTTATTATATTCACCCCTATTAAAACATCCAGGCCACGCCACTAAACAATAGGTTTAATTGCTGACCCGTGTCATATTCGAATATAAATGATTTATAAAACAATTTTTGAGAGTATCAATATTTATATTTATAATTAAGTAATGGATTGTTTTTATAAAATGAATAATTGATGTTTAAAGCTAATATTAATTTAAAATAACAATTTAATTTCCTTAATACTTAGTTAAAAATTATTAATTTTAAGCGACTTAATATGTCCGGTTTATTATTATCAGAAGAGTTTCATGGATACAATCCAAAAAATAATATAAAATTAATTTGGTGCTGACCTAATTTTAGAAGTAAAAATCTAAATAACTCACAATTCAGTACTAAGTATAGATGGGCAACCAAACTAACCTAACAATAAATTTGACATCCAACTAAAATTGAAACTTGTCAAATTGAATATTGCGATTTTTAAGCGAATTATTCATGGGCATACAAGAATGTACATACAAAGGTTTTATATCATATGTATAAAGACAGGAATGTAACATGACATATAATAGCGTATAACGAAATATGCTATTGATACACTTTAATGCTCGCTAACAAATCTCCATTAGATATGGAAGAATTTTAAGTAATATTGAAAAAGTAAAATTCAGAATAAAAGATAATTAGTTTAATATTTTATATTTTGTACAATAAACACATTTTGTTTCCTTTAAAAGCATAATTAAAAAATGAATATACTTATAGATAAATATTGTAAATTAGCTATGAATGATTTTTTTTCTGAATATGTTAATATTTACAAATTAGACCAACAGACATAACACAACATATTATTTATAAGTAATTGATAAGAGCCACATAGCTACTTTTAAAAATGGCTTTTAACTTTATAATTAATATAATTAGTGTTTTACCCAGTGCCTCCCAAGACGTGAGCCTGTAATTGATGCATATGTTAAGTTTTAGGTACAAACGCATTAAGTTACACGAATATATAACTTAATAATATCCTAATTATATAATGTGAGATACGATTAATTTATATTTCTGTTTAATTTATGCATTTTAAGAATTAATAAGTATGCTTTGTCGTAGGGAAACCATAGTTAAAGACAGTCCGCTTAATTTTTATATTAAATAAAGTTGGATATCTTTCTTATATAACATTAATCAAAGTACAGAATACTTATTAATTTATTATTTTTATTCCAGTTAGAGTATGAAATTAATGTATATTACATGAAAATAAAAGGTTTTAATATAATGTTAAATATATATAAACATAATATCAGCATCTGGAAAAATATCTAGAAAGTAGTACAAGTGCAATATACTAGAATATAAAAATATATCAGTCTACAATAAAACGTTTACTTTCATTTTTTTTTTCCCACTCTAAATAAGGTACTATGCAAAAATTGTTGTCTTTAAAATTTTTAAATACATTTGCAGCAAATTGAATTTTTTTTTAATACATGCGAATGTAGATAACGCAGGGAATACTAAATATAATCATTTTAAACAGTATTTAGTTTTGACGTAAGATACAATTACTATGCTAACACAACCTCACATTTTAATATGAAATTAATATTTTTGTACATTTTATTTATAGTTTGTATATGAACATCATTTGACAACAACTTTGGAATGTGCAATTTTTAAGTTGTATCTACCTTATAATTTTTCAACATTCATACTTAAAAAATCTAAATTGTTATTCTTAAAATAAGTATAAATATGTGATTTTAAGCTATAATATACAAAAACTGGATATGCAGTATACAGTATACAAAAATGATAAGATTATTGTAAAAATGAGCTATTGAATAATAAGTAAAAATTATCAAAATTTAATATACTTGTATTTGGTTTTTTAAGAATTTACTTTTTTAGTTTTAGTAAAAATATTAAAAATTTATAATAACGATTATTAAAAAAGATTTTTTTAGACATAGTCAGTTGTCTCAAATTTTAATCTAATAGACCTTGAGAGAACAACAACGATTTAGAAACCGTGCAACCGTAACATGGTACGCTTCATCATTAAACCGTGAATCGTGATAAATAACAATGTTTATTATCCATTGTAATGATCAGCCAACAGTAGTAAAACTAACTAATAAAACAGAATCAGGTAAGGACATACCCAGTTCATTTCATTAAGTATTATATTATTGTTATTATAATATTAATCTTAATATTATAGATGAATCTAACAATATTATCATTGAATACTGCTTGTTAACAAAAATAAAAGCTTTATTAATTTATAATACTAACTTCATATAGGATACTATTTTTATAATTTTTTTGGATAAAAAATAATATAGTAGCAAACGTCCTACAAAAATTAATAATTGTTTTAATATTTCCAACAACGAAATTTAGTTAAAATCACTTATTAGTGATTTTAAGTGATGAGTTTTAACGCACTAATATAAAATTAATGTATAATAGATAATAATTTAGAAATCACAGCAATTGCAACAATGAAAGAATTTTTCAAATTAAATTGCTTGGTATCAAAACAAATAAAATTTATCAAGATCTAAAAGTCTAAGTACTTAAGGAAATTAATATAACCATTAAAATGGAAACAAAAAGATGCAACATTATACAATTTTTTTAACCCAGGGTAAATTAAAACTAAACCCAATGAAAAAACTACAAAATGACTTAAAAAATACTAATTTTTTTTTACCGAAGGTACTCCTGTGCCTTCCTAGACGCTAACCATACATGTAACATATAGCTTTGGTGGGTTCAATCATGCGGGCATGGACTTGTGCCCATAAAAAACGAAAAATGAACACAATAAGGTAATGCATAATCCCGTTACTAATTCGCATCTACACTATAGTTTAAAAAAAATAGAAAGTTCATTCCTATTTAAAAATGTGAATTTACAATAACATTAATCATTCGCATTGATATTTTATATCAATAGTTTTTATTACAAATGTTATAGCTCAAATTCAAATTGATTAATATACGAATTTTCTAGATTTCAAATTGACATTATCGAATGAGATTGACAAGTAAACCTCATTATGAGAAGTAAAATATTTGAAAAACTTAGTTTACTTAACGCATTTCTTTATTTATCATAAGATGAGATATACCCCAAGTTATTTACACATAATTATTTTTCATTATTTAAATACACTATAAAGGAAACGAGATGTGAATAATTTTACAGTTATGCATTATGTTACACAATAGGCACTATTGTGCACAACCATTGAAGAAGAGAGTACGATGGCTCCTTTAAACGTATACTTACTATAGCGGACGGTGCATAAAATAAATAATTAAATAGGACGCGTTTTTATATTTGAAACGCAATGAACTACTTGGTTATACAATATCTCGGATCGTTAACATTAATTAACAATTAAAACTTAGCGTTCAATTGTTCAATTCATTAAAAGTTTTCTTGAACGTCACCAACCGGTTGCACAACAGCCTACAGACAAAATACATACAGCAAAATTTTGTCTTAAAAACTCATTAACACTTATAATTCCAGTTTGACTTCAAATATTTTTAACATGATATTCTATGGGTTAATAGTAATCCTAAAATAATATATTTTCAAGGTAACACTATTACTTTGTACCAATCTGGTGTTTATATTTGGTAATATTATAATATTTAAACGCATTTCCAAAGTCAACAAATTATTTAAAAATGAAAAGAGAATATAAAAATTTTAGTTTACAAAAATAAGTACACATTTATGTCAATCTGGAGAAAATGTAAATTTGTTTAATATCATCATAGCCTCATTTCATTAATCATAAGAATATCGAAAGTCACTTTCAGTATAATTTGAAGAACATGAGATCAATAAAAATGTAAATTGATTCTAATAAAAGAAGCAAGTTTTAATTTTAGTATTTTTAACAACTAGAGTTCGAATATTTTTCAAGATACAAGGGAAAAGGTAAAATATATAATATGACCTTAAGACCATAATTCTGAAATTTTTTCAAGTTAACAAAAAAATTTACTTTTTTAAATAGCCAATTAGTTATGTAAACAAACAATATAGTTTTATTTTCATTTCTTTTCTTTAAAGAATGAAAACATATATATATATAAATAGAACACATTGAAACCTAACTCTGTTATCTAAAATGATTTTAATAATACGTTAAAAAAAACAATGGTTCATCTTTCATTACAATTTTAAAATTACATATTACTAGTGGCGTACATAGGAATAGGGTTCTAGAGTTCCCCTGGAACTAGTTCAACAATATAAGGGGTGGGATGCAGGGGCGATTTTACGTGTTTATTATCAACTTATAATGAATACCCTACCCGACCTACGAACAATACTGCGTGTTATATATTTGATGTTATCAGGACTAAATTAATTAATATTAATAGGAGTAAAAAAAAAATCAAAACTCATAAACGTGAAGAAGAATTTAAAGTAAAAGCTATCGTATAAAATCCGCTAAATAAACAAGATAATTTTAATTTATGCAACCGTTTAATCGAATAACTACAAATAATACATAATTTATATCTTAATATTCTATTTAAATGTGTTCCTAATAAAAAATTATATATATAGTAAACAAAAATAATAAGCAGAAAACAGTTTTTGCTATCGCACTTTCACAAAAATACACACCGAATTAGCATCACTCCGATATAACATATTGAGATATTATTCTTTTTGTCACTAGACATATATCATGAGGCACACCATAATTAAGCGACTAAACTTTGGCATCGTTATGCACATAAAACAGATTCAAATACTTGATTATATCAGAACACCTCAAGGCAGTAGGGTTTTAAATGGCAACACGTCTATGAACTATGAAGTAATTTGCAAGAGAAGAGAACGGTTCTTATTCATCATACAAAACAAATATAACCGCATCATCAGTTCAGGTACAAAGAAACTAATAAAAACTCTTACTTTGGCCATTGCGTTCAGATCGATATCCAACACCAACAGTTTAACACTACCGGATAACAATGGATTGCTGAGGTATCATTGACGTGAACGATGGAGCACTATAGACGGGCGCACATTTTGATGATTATATATTTTTTTTATAACTCACAACATATTAAACAAAAGTAACTGCGCACTTGTGGTGTACACGAAGTATAACTCACAAAACATATAATTTTCTAATGGTTTATTAACTCACAAAAGTAAAACACGATACGGAACAAACACAGTAACGCGCAATAAACGCACACACAGAACCAACTGAACTGAATGTTCAAATCGGCGCGACGGCGTCGTCACCCGCACTATCATACCGACAGTGACAAGAAAGGGTAGAGGGGGTCGAACATTTGAAGCGATCAATAAGCAGACAGCAACGACTGCCGGCAACGCGAAGCCCGCCACAATTTCGCGCATTCTATTTCCCGCTAAGAATCGCTACTAGCGGAACGACGTGCAGCGCACCAAGTGGTTTAGATACATTTTATAAAATGTGCATAATACGTCTTTATTCCTAGACTTGTTTTTTTTAAATTGCAATATTTCATGCTAGCAGGTCATTAGATAATTTATATTTTAGTGTCCGCTTTATTTTTAAATTATATCCACTTCATTTACGCTAATAATACAGAGTGATTGATTTATAATTGAACGCTAAATTTCTCCTAAAATAATGATAATTTTAAAGAAATATGTTTTGAATTTGTTGAGTAATATTATTTTTCAATTTATAAGTTATTAATTGTTTATGTCCATGGTTTAACCCTTATGTGGATATCAACTTTATTTTTTCAAATGGCAGTAGTGAACATATTCAACTTTCTCCTACGTTACAAATTAGCTTAATTAAGAAAATGACTGGTCCATATGGGTTCAACTTTTGAATCAATAATCCAAGTGTTATAAGTATTTTTATACTTGAGTTGAAGAAGTTCTACGAAACTTTTATCATTAAAGAAATATCTAATGATGAAAACTACATAACCCGCACCTTATCTCTAGTCAATATATTAACATGTTAATTAATAACTTCTAAAATACTAGTTCAAAAATTGTAAACAACCAGTCAGTTTTCTTAAATCATTTTTTCTTTATTAGTGAAAAATATTAAGTTAGTATCCTTTTAAGAAATATGGGATAAATTTAAAATATATTTAATTATATTATGTATTTTTTTTTTTATGTATTAACAAATACGTAATACTAAACAACCCCCCCGAGTGCTGTGGACAAATGTTTAATGATAGATGTAGTCATGATATGATAATGATTTGATGTAGTCATACATCCGCCTCACTCCTATTCTATATTAAATATTAGGGTTCGTCAAGAATATATTTTTGGATTTCGATATCGTACTGAATTCAGCGATATTTTATTGCAATATTGAAAAAAAAAATTGTTGCCCATATCGCGTAAAATCAATATCAATATCGATATCATTGACGAGTTCTATTAAATATGTACGTAATTTAAAAAAATGTATGTAATTTTTAAGATGTTTAGAATGTTAATAACTTCCGAAAGAATAGGTCGAACAGGATTTTTACGTTTAAAATTCGAAATGTTTAAAATGTATTTAAAATACCAGATTTTTCAAAATTTACATTGGTCTTATGGATTTCATAAGTAAAGGTTTTCAACTGTTTACTTATGTTTTTTAACAACCCAAGGGTAGAACGGTATGATTAACCAGTCATTCTTAATTAAATTATTTTTCATTATATAAGCTACTTTAATATGTATGTTGCTATTTAAAAAATAAATTTGACACCCTTATAAGGTATAAGAGATGAATTAAAAAAGTACTTGATGATTGATAAATCGAAAATCATATGAATAAACTAAATAAAATCAAAAAAGAAAGTCAATGGTTTTATTATTTTAGCAGAAATCGAGTATCTAACATTAAAATAATCGACGATATATTATTAACATAATCATGTTAATGTTAAGATACTATTTATTAACAAGTATTCAATATAAATTTTGTCCAATATGTAAATGATTAATAATCAGAAAATACTTTTGATGCATCATGATAAAATGTGTATTATGAATATTTTGTATTTAAAATTCTATAGTCTAATAATGGCATTTAATCATAGTAATACAATGCTATTAGTGTTTTCAATTTTTCAGACGTGAAGTATAATGTAAAAATGGTACAAATGTCAATAAATTCTAAGAAATATTTTATTAAATGATGCCCCAATTGACGTTCAATAATATTTTTAGACACATGTTATCGAGTTGCTCATAATTGAGGTAATAATAATAAATACAAAACGATAAGGAACAATCAAACCAAATATTTTAACATCCGTCTGTTCTAACTTAGTAAATAAAGAATTTTTAAAATTATCTTTGTTCTGCGGAAAAATAGACGGGAAAGTTTTCAGAAAAGATCTGTTAGGTAACGGCATACTTAGAGAGGGACACAGGGGCACATGTCTCTTCCATTGACCATGCTAATATTTTATCAAGTAATGTATGATGAGTGAGTGATTAATATCAATTGATAATATTTTTCAATTTTTGTTTGGTTATTCATAACATTGTTTAACAAACGTTGGTTGATATAGTTGTCTGTGAAGTAGAATTCAGTGGCATTTAGGGTTGTCTCTGAAACGTTATCACTTATTATTACAACAAATACGTTAATGTTAATTTAATATTTTTGAAGTGTTTAATACGAGAGAAATACTCTAATATTTTTTACGTTAATTATTAAAAATGTATACAAACATTTTCTTGAATAAAAAAAAAACAGGACAATTTTTTTAGTTTTTGAGGATAAAGTCATAAACCAAATATAATTAAGGTTCTTTAGTATTCACCATTAATATCATCCAGTGAGAGCTGAGAATTTTTATTGTTAGAAATAAAAATAAAAATAAAAATATAACATACTGATTAAATCACCCGTCTTATCTTCTATATCTTTAATATAAATGTTATTACATTTTTATATCGTTATTACTTTACTTATAAAAGTAACCAGGCGTAAAGGATAGGCAGTCTAATAATCACCAATGTTAATATATTTTTATATAATTTTTTTTATATAGAATCCTTGGGTATTTCTCTTTCATTTTATATAATTTGTTTAAAAAACTGACCTTATACTTGCCCACAAGGGGGGATTCAAAATAGAAACTTTTCCATAAAATTCAATATATTCAACTTAACTTTTGAAAATATTCTGGAAATACTGCCTCTATTAAATATGTGTTAAATTAGAGCTTATATTACGTACTATAATTTAAAAAAAAATTTATCCCGATGACCTATGCCACGTCCACACTAATTTTTTCATATATTTCTAATTGGTAATAATCTCAAAAAAGAGGTGATAGAAAAAATATAATTTCAGACTTGAAATCAGCGTAAACATTTGGTTTAGTAAAGTATATATTGCTCTATAATCAATAGAAAATATTTTATTTTAGTGATGTGATTTTACTGTGTAATTCAGTATAAAAGCAAAATTCATACTCGTATTAATTTGGAGATATTTAATTAAAATTTTTTTTTTTTTGAAGTAGCCATTTTTTACACCAGCGTAATTTTAATATATTTTTTGAAATTCTAAAATTTAAGTTTTTTTTCCAATATTTGGTAATTATAATTTCAACAAAATAAAATCGTTTTTTTTTTTTACGTTTTGATCATTAAAATTTGTTAAGTGAGAGGTGAGCAAAATTAACGACAGACACAACAAAAAACTATATGGGAAAATAATTTAATATGACATTTATTCTCATTAGAGGAGACCACAGTAATGGGGTCCTCGAAGTTATTCTATCTAAATGAGATAAAAATCAAACAAACTTTGAATTTTTTTTACCTTAAAAAATAATTAAGAAAAAAAATGCAAAAAAAGTTATGTTGACTTCGGATTGTTATATGATACGCGGTATGGCCGCTGGAAATGAGACGAAAAAGATGTCGGTCAAATGATACTTCTGTCCAGACCAGTGTCATGACTTATCTAGATAAATATTTTATAGGTATCTAAATTTTCATCTCGGATTAGCTAAACACATTTATATAATGGGTTTAAATTATACAGCATTCCATGTTTTTCAATCCAACGTTGTATGCAGTGGCGGCTCGTGGGTGCTGGTTGTGGTGGTGCGACTTTAAATATAATACCGCCAGTTATAGGTATAAAAAATTGTCGAATTAAATATAATAAAATAAAACACAATACACGTATTATTATTTTAAAAATCGCAGTAGAAAATAGAAATGAAAATAATAATAATAATATCGATTATACTATTAGAGCAAACGACGATCGTACACGTAGTTAGTTCAAAAAATAAATTATCCAATATGGTAATTAGTGATGGGCATAATCGAGATATATAATCGAGATATCTTGATTATGAAAATAATCGAGATATTTCGATTATTGAAATCATATCAATTATATAATCGAGATATTCTGATTTTTTTAATAAATAATATTAGAATAATATTGATTATTCTATAATCGAGTGATTATTTCTAATGATTTCTCGTTTATTATAAAAACAATGATTTCTTGATCTTGAAATGTATATAATCGAATAAAAGTTATTTCGAATGATGTCCATGAAACGATGAAACGAGAGAATACTATTTTTAAGTTTTTATTTAGCATAAATTATAGTCGAATTATTATTAAATTGTTGACTTCGAGTCTTATTTTCAACTCGTTCAATCGCTACTCATGGCAACACCTTATCTGTCACATTTTTGGGAAGTATGTGACGATTAGAACAAAGTTTTGTCCTGAACTGGCTAAACTACTGAGTTCTGATTCTCTCACTAGTTGTGAATTTATGAAAAATCAATTAGGTGTGGAATTAGGTGTTTTAATTATGATGGTCAAGCAGGCTATTGCTACCTTATCTTATGTTTTTATTTTTAAATTTGTTATCGGTTTTTTTAAAATATAGGTAATAATTATTAAATAAAAAAAATAACAACTTGTCTTTTATTTAAAGCACTTATTAATAATGCATTATTAATATATTATTGNCTTTATTTAAAACACTTATTAATAATGCATTATTAATATATTATTGTTATTATTATTCCTAAATTATAGTTTAATATAATAATTATAAATAAACACCAACAAATAAAAAAAGCAAAATTAAATTAATAATTATTTACTATAGGTATATTTATTCATATTTCGAATAATTTTTCGATTCTCTCGATAAATAATAATAGTTGATTATTCTTATCATACGAGCAGACGATTTTAACTTCGAGTGATTTTTCGAGAGATTCACTCGATTATGAAAATGTCTCGATTACTAATCATTCGATTATCGAAATCATTCGATTATGCCCATCACTA